TTGGGCGTCCACTTCTCTCACGATCCTGGATAGAGTGGGTCTGCTGATATCGTTTAATGGTGCGATGAATGAACATACGATTCGTGCCTTGGCCTGAGAGGTCTTTGAATATCTCTGGTGGTGTTTTTCCGCTGAGATGAAGCTCAATGATGGCTGCACGTTGTGCATTCATTTTGGGACAAAAAATGATAGGAACTGATGAGACCATTGCTTCATCTGCAACTTTAAGTTACATGTCCATACAAGTCACACGCCCATAGGCTTGTAAAAGATTCTACCCGGGAGACATTTTATGTGAGTCCAAAGTTTGTAACAGAACTTCTTACGCACCCTGTATACGATAAATATAGAAAAAAGACAAAAGAATAAATCGCAATAAATTGCACGACGAATATGATTGAAATTAAAGGTGTGCTTGCAAACAACCTGAAGCTCGCTTTCGATAACTTTGGAATATGGTTTACGATTTATTGCTTTGGTCAGTTTCTTGTACACTATCAAGAATTAGACAGAGGTATTATTTTATGTTATTGGAGTCATTTTAAGTCGTTCCTCTTGATCTATTCATCCGGTTTCCCGCGGGAAATGTAATGTCTTGACAATACTACTGTACCACAATAGTGTCCGTAGTTTTACCTATCACTGGAATTATGGCTTGGCTCATGGCTAATCTTGAGTTTTTGCCATCTGCATGGTGCTTGACATTTTGTTGTTTCTCTTTATGCACTGCTGGGGGGGTTCCACTCAGAAGAGTTCAGAAGACAAAAAAAAAGGTAAAATGGGAATAAGTGAAAAGAGCGAAATCCTGTTTGAGAGGATGATTTTTCACATGATCTCAATTGCCCCCCGCGATGACATAAGAGTGGCTCAAAATGGGACACAGTGGCCCTCTATTGAAGACTAATTCCCATGCAGAAAAGTCCACAATTGGTTCCTAATAGTGGAATAAGCAGAGTCGTACCGAGGGGGCTGCGAGCGGTGCGCCAACTTGAGGGGACGCCGATTGGCCGCTAAATCGCTACAAAATTTGAATAAAAGCGTTTAGTGGTATAGAGGAGGAGGGGGGGGGAGGGGCTGAATTGACATCTTGCACGGGACTCCAAGTACGGTAGAAGCTCCATTTGCTTTCGGCGAAATATATTATATCTAGCTCCTCTCTTGTATATACCATACGACCCATGCTACCCCATGCTACGCATTGCTACCATCTTCTGTACTTTCTTCTACCGTGTCTGCACCATGCTACCCCATGCTACTCATTGCTACCATCTTC